CTTGGCCTTTTCCTTTCAAGATTGACTTTCCAACTGAGAGCATCAGCAACAACATTAGCTTTACCGGGATGGTAAAGTATCTCACAGTCGTAGTCCTTGAGTAACTCTAGCCAGCGTCGTTGCCTCATATTCAATTCCTTATGATTGAAGAGATATTGTAGACTCTTATGATCAGTGAAAATTTTGCACTTCGTGCCATAGAGGTAATGCCTCCATATCTTCAGAGCGAAAACTACCGCTGCCAACTCCAAATCATGAGTCGGGTAGTTCTTTTCATGCTCTTTCAGTTGTCGAGACGCATATACTATCACCTTTTCTCTTTGGGTTAAAACATAACCCAATCCAACCCCAGACACATCGCTATAAACAGCGAAGTCTTCAACTCCATCGGGTAGAGAAAGTATCGGTGCGTCACATAGTTTCTTCTTTAGCTTCTCGAATGCTTCTTTATGATTCTCACTCCAAGCATAAGTAGCTCCTTTGTGGGTCAAAGCTATCAATGGAGTAGCAATCGAAGAAAAGCCTTGGATAAACCTTCGGTAATATCCGTCTAATCCTAAAAAGCTTCGGATCTCCGTGGGACTTTTCGGTTGTTCCCACTTCATCACAGCTTCGATCTTCGCTGGATCAACCATTATCCCTTCTTGGTTGACCACGTGACCCAAGAATTGGACTTCACGAATCCAAAAATCACATTTGGAGAACTTAGCATACAACTTCTCCTTCTTCAAGACTTCTAACACTTCTCGCAAGTGTCTGCCATGCTCCTCCTGGCTTTTCGAGTAAATCAGAATGTCATCTATGAACACTATCACAAATTTATCAAGGAACGGATTGCAAACCCTATTCATTAAATCCATGAATGCTGCCGGAGCATTGGTTAGTCCAAACAACATAACCAAGAACTCGTAGTGTCCATATCTAGTTCTGAACGCAGTCTTCTCTATATCCTGCTTTACTTTCAGCTGATGATATCCTGACCTTAGGTCGATCTTCGAGAAATAGCTCGAACCTTGTAGTTGATCGAATAGGTCATCAATCCTCGGCAACGGATATCTATTCTTTATTGTTGCCTTATTCAGCTCTCGGTAATCAATGCACATTCTCATACTTCCATCTTTCTTCTTCACGAATAACACCGGAGCTCCCCAGGGTGATGAACTAGGTCTAATGAAACCTTTGTCCAATAACTCCTGAAGTTGCATCATTAGCTCCTTCATCTCCGTCGGTGCTAATCGATAAGGTGCTTTTGCAATTGGCGTTGTTCCTGGTAACAAGTCAATACGGAATTCCACTTGTCGATCAGGCGGTAATCCAGGAAGATCTTCTGGAAATACTTCCGGATAATCACACACCGCAGGAATACTCTGCATCACCTTCTTTTCCTTCTTAGCATCAATCACGAATGCTAAATATGATGTACATCCCTTGTTCAAACACTTTCTGGCTTTCATTAGAGAAATGATTCCAGAATTCACTCGGCGTTTGTCCCCATACACCATAAACGAATCTTTTCCAGGTGGGTTTACTTTAACTATCTTCTTCTTGCATAAAATTTCGGCATCATTGGCACTAAGCCAATCCATTCCCAACACGATGTCGAAACCATTAAGTTCGATAGGCAATAATTCCTCGTGGAACTTATTCCCATTTAGATCGATTAAGATGTTTTTCATACGATGGCTAACAGGTACAAACTTGCCACTAGCAACTTCGACTAATAAAGCATTATCTAGTCTATCAACAGGCAATGCTAGTTTTCTACCAAATTCATGCGATATAAAGGAGTAGTTGGATCCAGAATCAAATAAAATTTGGGCAGGCAAATTGTTAACGAGAAAGGTACCTGAAGCGACATCAGCTTCATCTTTAGCAGCTTCCAGTGTCATCTGGAATGCTCTCGCCTTTGGCTTTGGCGGAATGTTGGGTCTAGCTGCCTCCTTCTTTTTCGGGCAGTCCCTCGACATGTGTCCCTCCTCACCACAACCATAACAAACTTTCTTAGTGAGGGTACATTCATTGGCATAGTGACTTGGCTTTCCACACTTGTAGCATGTGGTCACTACCTCACATTTTCCATGATGCTTCTTCTTACATTTGTCGCACCATTTCGCTTCGCCTCCACTTCCCCTCGAACCAGACTTCGAGAACTTGTTTTTCTTATTGGACCCTGAAGTTCCATCGAACTTCCTCTTTTCACCAACTTCTATCCTTTCCAGACCCTTTTCCTTCTGCTGGGCCTCCACATTCTTAGCTGCACGAACAGCCGTTTTCAGAGTAGTTGCCATCTTGACTGTCGGGCCAAAGTCGCAGGCAGTCCATTAGCAAACCTCTCAATTTGGAGAGTTCCGTTGGCACTAGGTACGGAAATAATTTCATTTTCTCAGTGAATGCCATAGCATAGTCGTCTACGCTCATCCTCCCCTTCTTCAAGTTTTGGAACTCATTGTTCAGATCAATCAGATCTATCTCTGAACAATATTGCACCCTTAACTGTTCCAAGAACTCTTCCCATGACATTTTTAGGGCTTTCCCTTGTGGCATAGTATCTGCCAACAACTTCCACCAACTTAATACTCCAGTCTTCAGTTGTCTGACTGCAAAGACAGTCTTTGTTTGTTGCTACATCGCAACTTTCAAATACCATCTCCATTTCGGAGATCCAATCCATTATTTCAACAGGCTTTGGGCTCCAGAAAGACTTGGCGGTTTGGCACCCAAGAAATTCTTGTACATTCGCCATCGTTGTGTTTCTCCTTTCCGGATTGTTCCTTCGTTCTTCTTGAGTCCCAACTTGACTCAAAATGCGACTATTGTTCCCTTCCTCCGATTGCTCGGGAATCAATTCAGGTTCCTCAATAGGTATGATAGGTTCGTCCCTATTATTATGCAACATTTGTCGCATCTCCTCCCTTTGTTCGGCTAACATAGCCCGAATCATGGCTTGTACTCCAGCCATGGTGATTTGTTCTGGTGCTGCTGCTACAACAGGTATTTGCTCAATAACTGGCGGTTGATTCCTGTTTTCATCCGCGTTTCCAACGCCACTCCTTGTTCTCACCATTTTTGATCTACAACCGAATAATTTCACCTTATTACTCCAAACGATTACATGCTAGTTCTAATATCGTATACATACGCTTAGAATCCTAAACACATAAACCTTCAGATCCGGTTGGCAACAAACCGTAGATCCGAACAAATAATATCATATATGGCAACATATAACATTTAGCACATAAAAGCATTTTAGGCAACGTTCCTAAAATAAACTAGTGCTTGTGTCTAAAATCCAACAGACACACATCTCAAATTCCACTTAGCATTCTAAGTTTAAGTTTAGAAATCCTACAAATTCCTAGTTCGCTTAAACTAATGCTCTGATACCAACTGTGACATCCCCAAAATCACGGCCAGAAAAGACCGATTTCATTTATGCTTTTAAAATAATTTCAGAGTAAATCCTTTTGATTTAAAAGAGTTGCGGAATTTGTTCCCAAAACAAAACATGATAAAAAATTTACCAAAGCATTTCATAAAAGAAATGCATTTTCATTATATAATTCAAAACTCGGGGTGTCATGTTCCGATACAGACCATTAAGCATAAAAAATAACATTACAAGTCATTCAACAAATATATACATATACAGACTTGTAAACAAAACAACTTGATGGTTCATCCATCTTACGCCCTTGCGCCACTTCCTGTAATACAAATAAAACTGAGTGGGTCAGGCTTGGGAGCCTGGTGAGCATATAGGGTTTTCAACCCACAATAAATAAATTATATTTAATTTCACCAACCAATCACTATCCCGATTACCCATTCCCGTTATCCTCACTTTACGTCCCTAAAACAACATCTATCTCAAGGGACCTAATCTAGGATTTTCATCGGGACGGACATTACTGCTAAGGGGTTTCCTCAACAATAGATATCCTAAAGGCAACCATGAGGGGGATAGAGTACACCGGTGAACACATCGTTCACAACACCTACAGGTTATGAACCTGCTAGCGTTCCACGAGACTGTCTAGAAGGAGTCTGTGGTCGTTATCCATACTCCGCTGAATAACTAGGTCAACAACAACAACAACATCGAGGCCTCTCATCTGTTTATTACACACCAACTATCTACCCATGTTCTACCCAACATATTAGTAGATAAAAATATATTTTTATACATAGTTTAAAACCTGTATATCATTTTCATTCAATATATATTCACATAACAGATGAGGCATACCCACATAACACGTATTTCATAGAAAACAAATCAGATCTATGAGATTAAAGAGAGTGAATATACATTCACGCACATAACAACAAAATTATACACATAACACGTATTTCGTATAAAATACTTCATAATTATGCGTTAGAAGAAAGTAACTACACACTCACTTGATCAGAAGATGATCGGACAGCACTACGGCTCATAGAAGTAGTAATCCTCAGCAGATCTGGAAGATCTCTACAAAAATCGAACTTCTCGCGGGCAGAGCTTCGGCTCGGAAACCGCACTTCTCGGGATCTTCGGGATCTCGGGACTTGCTTCGGGACTCGGGAATATTACCGGGGCTTCGGTGGCTTCGGGGTTTACGCAGAGCTTCGGCACAAAAACGAGAGGAAATTAGCAAATAAACCCGGAACCCTCGCATCCTATTTATAGGAGGCTGGAGCCTCCTCGTACGCGGGGCGTACTGCTCCGAAATCGTAAGCGCATGCGTCATCCGAAGTCCTCGAGTG